TATAATATAAAAGATGTATTATATATATGTATTTTATATATATATATAAAATATAAAAGATACACTTTTATTTTATATTATTAAAGTAATTTAATTTTTTATCTATTATTATATTATATATTATATTATTATACATGTTATAAACTTCTAATATTTTTTGATCATTATTTTATTATACATTCCTTTTAAAATTGTATCATATTAAACCAGATAAATCTATTTTCCTAATTATTAATAAAAGTTGCTAAAACCTGCATCAAATAAAAACAACATTAAATATTAGAGATAAATTACAGAGATTTCAGCTTTTAATGTCCACATACTTTAATAATTTATTAATTAATTTATATGCTCATTTATATTGTTTATGATATCAAAAAAATAGACGCAAAAATATACGCATGCTATAAACAATGAAAAATTACTGAATACATATCTATATTATCTTGGAATGCTTTCGAAATCTGATCAAGACTGCTTTAAGATGAAGATATGCATATAACGATGTTATATTTCAATCGACAACTTCGACCGACTTGTTTAATGATAGGCATAAAGAATAGTTTAAATTGGCTCTGTTTTCTCCGCAATTACTTTTCACCGACACTCTCTAAACGGTTCGACTATGTGTTGGTTACTCATTTGCTTCTGCATTTTATAGAAGAAAAGTCATTTATGGGATACAATTGGATTCCGCTTTAAAAATTCTTTTTGTTCCTCAAAATTATTATATTAACGATGACATTCGTATGAGTCCGTTATTGTCAAATAACGGCTCGGGTGACCATGAATCAGTGAGAAAGTCCACAAAGATTTGCTTCCATGCACATCCAGTTCTTGTTTCAACTGTACACGCTCGCATTTTACTTTTCCAGTCTGCTTTTCTTTTCTAGGTCATCTCCTTGACGAAACAGCAATTAATACTGCTTACTATCATGTAGTGGCTATCCAAACTTTGCAATGCATATATGCTACTTTCTTCTTTAGTAAAACTTGCGAGTTATACTATTTAAGAGATTTATTTTTTATATCTTTTAGATCATACTTTTAATAACTCGATTTCTTCGATCTTTATCGTCAGTTTAATTATGATCATAATTATATCACACATGCACATCTTATAATAGAATCTTTATTTTTAATTAATTAAATAAATTTTATAAAAATATATTTTACAATTTTATGCTGCTTTACAATATTACATTTTTATACATTTTTTGTTAAACTTTGATTTTGTACTTTACATTATATACATATATACATATATATATACATATATATATATCTTATTTTCTATTTAAATAAATTTAATGTTAATTATTTAAAAATAAATGAATATTTTAAATTTCAGCTGCTTAAATAGCGCTTTTTCTTCTTTTGTAGATGATATTGCTATTTCTTAGCTGGCCGCAGACAAGATGCACAGAAGATATCGATTTAAAAGGTACAGAGAGCTTCGATCAACTAGCAACCGCTTCGGAGACTATAGTACACGCCGTAAAAAAGCCGGATAAAAATTCGAAAGATCTTCAAGCCCAGCCATCGAGGATATCGTCGTCAATAAGCACAGGAGTACACTATGAAAATTCTAATGGCTTTGTGCCTATATTACCATCCATGTCGTCTGTCTTGTATGATCTGTCATCGACACAGACTAATAGTCATGAGCAGCAGAAACTAAGCCAGTCTGAAGAGAGCAACGCAACAAATGCCGTAAGTGCTCAAGACAGCTTCAATGCGAGAGCGGAAAAGTTGGAAGAAGATTTAGCAAATTCCTCGGAAGCGAGGATTTTCTTGAGTCAGCCTGGATCACTGACGAATCGCAGATCTTTCGATTTCCAGGACGAGAGGCTGAATGAGTTCGAGCTGCTGAAGGTGAACAACGACACCCCCGCGGTGGCCAATTTCCAGGAGTTTTATGAGAACGTACACGACACTGATATCGACAGCGAGCCCGAGAAATCATCTACGGGACATCATCAAAAGGGTGAGAGAGGGAAGAGACTCGAGAAACACACCCGCAATTATGGTCAGCAGTCGCAGCAAAGTAACGGCGAGGATATTTACGCTCAATTCTATGCTCAATACAACAACGGCCAGGACACAAAGAAAACTGTTTATGGGCAGGAGAAAGTTGCTGGTAATTATCAACAGCAGAGTATCGCGAATTACAACGGACAGAGCGCGGCCAAGCAGAATGCAGCGGCGGTCCCGTCCTCATCAAGGACGAATTACGAGGCCAACGAACTCACTCATGGCGGAACTTATGGCGATGCGGTAGAATCACCGAGACCACGCCAGAGATTCTTGAAGCCCGTCGTGGTCGCCGATCCGAGCAACTACAAAGTAGAAGCGAAATTCAGCAGTCAATTGCGAAACAGTGAATCGGACAATGATTATAAAACTTTGAGAAATCTGGAATCTTCTAGTTCAAAGACATTAAATCATTACGATGCTTACAACAGTAGACAGCGTAGTTATCAACGTACAGAAGACTCTAGAAGTTCGGACGAAAGCACAGAATACTCTGATTACATTGAACGACCAAGAGCGAGAACGCAAAAGAATCAGAAACGTCCTTCATATCCTGATCCCTCTAGAAAACTTCCCAAAGAACATCGGGAAACTTTGAACGAGAGTGCAGAAGAGGGTAAAGACGCATATAGCCCTTCAAAAGTAAAGTCACAGCGATATAGAGTGAAGGCAAATCCATGGCTCAATGATCCCAATACAAATCATCGCGACGAGAGTGCCGAAGACACCAGACATGATTCCAGAGGCACTACGAAAACGAAGAACTCCAACGTGCAACACGTATCAAAGAATACTAATACGTGGAACCAGATATCTCCAAATATTGAGATCTCTCATTCCAACGGAATCGAGTTAGATCAGGTGGAAAAGCCGAAATACGTTGTTAATCTCGTACCCGTGACAAACTTCGACCACGCTACCGCATTAGGCGGTAGCCAGGGTTTTGACGTGTCCAACGCGATGCTGCAGAACATCGCCACTGTCGCGCCAATCGGTGCGTTCAGCACGACTGCGCCTATTTTGAGCACGCCTCAGACTATATTCGCTCAGAATTTGGCATTATCGAAAAATCTGGCGGTTTCTACACCACTGCCCGACATCATCGTGGGCCAGAATTCCTTTCAAAGTCCCGTACATACGATTCTAGTCTCTCCGAGCAGTCCAAATAAGATCATAGATCCGTTGAGGGCGACCTACGTGCCGAGCACGATGACGCCTGTCTTTGCCCTCACACCCGGCTTGAGTCCGACGCTGCAGAGCGTGAGTGTTCATGGTGTGCAGAGCAACGTAACGCCGCGGCCGACCTTTGCCGTGGTGCCGCAGCCGACCGTTCAGACGTATCCGAGTTTTCTACAGACGCCGCTGCAGGCAACTCAGCTCCAGGTAAATACCCACGGACTACAAGATCAGAATTTGATAACTCACGGTAACTTGCAGGTACAGAGTCTGCCGACGGCGCCCACGTTGCTATCTAGTCAGACGATTCAGCCGGAGGGAAGAGCCAACGCAGAAGTGCAAAGTAAGAAGAACGCGTATCCCGCTTCCGGCCCGAACTTCCTCGCTACCGCGAGTCTGGCCGTTGGTCAAAATGGACAGAAGCAGGCGACTAACACCTACTACATACCAAGTCAGAATGCTCAGCAGGTGAATATCGCATCAAAAACAAAGACCTTCGTGCAAGCAACTCAGGTAGTACCAGCTATACAGCAACTAATTCCAAATCAACAGAATTTGCAGGAACTGCATGCTCAAATGAATAAACAACTGGCGAAGAACGGTAGACTGCCCGGAGTTGTATTGCAAACCGCCGACAGCGCGGCTAGTCATTCAATCAGTAATTTAAATACGGTTGGAACAGCAAATGCTCATCTGCCAAACATAGGAGCGAAGAATGTGGAGATCGTGAATCCAAATATTAAATCAAACCCGCTCAACAATATGAACCCGTATCAGATGCTGCACTATCCAGCTACCGTTGTAACGACACCTAACCCGATTTTCAGCACGATTGCTTCAGTCACTCCGCAGACTGCGGTCAATTTGCAGAATTATGTGAGTTCTTTAACAGAGTCAGGAGCTAAGAAACAAGTAGATCTTAAACCCTCACAGAATCAGGAACCAATGTTTAATCCTATCAATTTTGTTCCTAACGTCGATATTATCAAGAACCAGAACGCTCTTAACAATAAGCCGCACAACGAGCCCGTTCAGCAAGGTTTAAATCTGGTGCCCGCCATGCCCGGCGGAAACTTCTTTAAACCATACTCAGGTCAAAGCGAGCTCCTCATGAAACCGAAGCTTACATCAGACTTGCAGAAATACGCCGAAGAGATGTTTAAGGAATCTCTGAAGACAATGTACAACTCGCAAAAGTGGAATAATGACAGAAGGCCGCAGGGGAGTACTCAGAATTATTCCGAAGCGAATGACCTGGCCAAACTGAGGATCGAACTGCAAAAATTGAGAACTTCCTTAGCGGAATCAAAATACAGAGACATTATCGAAGCGCATCAAAGCGAGAACAATGTGCGCACAGCTAACGCGCCAAAATCGAAAAAGAAAGATCCGTTACTGGCAACTTTGGAGCATCTGCTAAAGACTCGACCCGCGGGACCGATACATATCTATCATGGCCCTGTTAAATCCGGCCGCAAACCTAAATTGGGAGATTCGAACTTCGCCGCGAGTACCAATTATGATGACTTTAATGAAAATAGTCACTTAGAGTTCCTCTCGCCACCAAGACCGAGTCCTTTCTATGACAAACCGATGAAAAAACGACCAGGTCCGCGATACAAGAACGGCCTGAGAAAGCCAATGAGACCAGGCAGCTCGTTTAAATCCAGTGGGATAGAAACGTCTGCTAGCAATGTAGATATATATATGGATGGATCGCAATACCACAAGTCACCTACAGATTTTGATTCTGAAAGCTTTGATTATGATGCTAGACACCGATCATCTCATGAATCATATCCGACATTCACCACGTCAACGCCGGAAATTGTTGATAAAATTCTAAGAGAGATAAAGATGTCAAATAACAAAGACTACGACATCAATCATCCTAGAATGCACAATCTTCTCGGTTTGTTAATGAAAAACAAACAGCTGCCGACTAGAGGCGCGCAGAATTATTTTCGTGACAGAAATCAGCTGAGGCAATATTTCGAGAGGGATAGGCGTCGGTTGCAGCAGCAGTTTTACGGTGACGCTCTAAAAAATTACATGGACAGATCCGATATTGCGTCGCAATCTGCCTCGGTTACTAATAGGAATGTTTATTCGGAGAACAGCACCGCGTAAATCCGTAATCAAAAATACAAGCAAGACGTCGATCACGCGATGTGTTCGTTGGATCTGCTCGTGTAATCGTAAATCCGCTCGCGAAAGAACTAGAATTAATTAGGTAGTAAATAGTTTATCCTGCTGGCGATAACGAACGACTTCCCGTCTGTTTTACGCGTTAATGAAAGCTGTATCACGCCAGCATTGATCGCTGCGCTGTTCACATTAAGATTCAATTATAGTAAGTAACGTTTTATACGGAAGTTGTAAAATCAATCGTTAGTATCGGATGCGCTCACACGGAACGTTTGGTTCGAAGGAAAAGAAATTTCATCTGTCATCTTTCAGCGTAAGACGCTGACAAATATTGTGTGTACATAGTAAGTTAGATCAGAAATACATATTTGTAATTTGTATGCGTTTCTCATGTCTGCGTCCTATCCATTTTTCTTTTCGTTGATATCTTTTCTTATCCAAAGACGCGATATACAGATAGAACTGAAAATTAAGTAAATTTTTTCTACTTATTGAAAAGTATAAAGAACTTTGTAAAAAGTAAGTAGCAAAAATATTTTTGCTACTTGACAAGTCAAATAAAATTTTATATTAAATAACTGAAATGTATTGTTTTTATATTTATATAAAATATCTTTTATTTACCATTGTGAAGTATTATATAAAGTTATATTGTAATAAACTATAATTATATTTTTAAAAGACGTTTTTAATACAAAGGAAAAAATAATGAACGTATTTATTTTTGATGCAAAAATTTGTTCAAGAAATTGTTGTTTTTAATAAAAATGCTTGATGAGTATTAAGCTTTTACATCAACATTCTGAAGGCGAGACGTTTTTATAGTTCCATTAATATTCATAGCAGTTCTTTTCAATCTTTCCGTGACAAAATCGGATCAGAATTTTAATCTTCGTTATAAAACTAAATCAATAAAAGCGTTTCACCATCGAGGAGGAAGTGTTCTTTTAAAAATAGAGAAGGTTTTGTTATAATCTCCAATGTTATAATATTTTTATTCAGTACATTGATAAGCTTTATGTATCTATACAAGAATCACTGAATAAAAATAATTAATATAATAAAGTTTGTAAAATAAAGATATTTCTGTTACAGATTTGTGTTATGTATTATTAATTAAAATTTTTAATGTCCTTTATCTCATGTAACTGTTAAATTAAATAATAAGTTTTTAAATTAAATAATTCAAGAAGAAATGAAATTGATAAAATGAAACTGATAAAACTGATAAAATCAATCATAAGAGATTATTTATTTCATTGAATAATTGTTTTGATTTTAAACAATAATAAAATAAGCAACTTAAAAAATTAAGAGATTAGTAATTGCATTTTAGCACAAATATTAAATTATTAAAATTGGTTGTTTACAAAATACAAATTAATAATGTGAAGAAAATATATATAACTGCATTCTTTTTTTCCAGTTGATTGAATTAATAATTTAACCGTAACTCAGAAGGAAGAGACGGTATCACCTCGCGGTATGTAATAATTATTAGCTTAAAAATTTATTCAATGGAGCCTGTACACATAAATTCGTTGGAGCATTTTTATTGTGCAACAGTCACTTTCTCGAAAAACAATCTAAGAATTAGACAGAAATTAGTTTGGGAGCTCCGTTAATTCACGAAACTATTATGGATATGCTCGCGCAAGTTTTCTCGGAATAACGGCTAACAAAGAAAATAATTATCTAGTAAATAGTATAATTATTATTATTGCCCCTCTAAAAGATATTCAATACACATTAAAAATGTATATTATTATTTCAGTTAATTTATTATTTCTATTTAAAATATGTATAGTAAATATTTTATATTGTAAATATTTTTATTACATTTATTGTTAATTAATTATTTTTATAAATTCTTACAATAAAACAAGAAATTAAATTTAATACATATCTTATGTTTAGAATGATAAAAATTATTTGTTTTATATTCATGTTTAATTACAATTTACGTATTGATAATATAAATAAGATTTTTAAATTGCAGAACAAGAGAGAAGTGTAAGTTAATAAAAAGACGGATCAAGAGTTATGATTATGGCTTCACTGATCAGGGAGAAGTGAGGTGATTTGACTCGGTTTTCTCGATACGCTTTTTACTAAGTTTAGAAAAGTCCAACCCATTCTGCTGTCTCGCATCAGTAAACGTCGAATATAAAAGATGAGAGAATGTCGATCGCAGCCAGTTAACATTAAACTTTGGTTCCTACTCGTACTAAATTGTACGAGTATCATGGTACGTGTTTCTCGAGTTTCCCAACTATTTCGAATAATCATTATTTACCACAAATTAATAACATATGTGTCATATTATAACAACAGTGATTTACTCAAATGTATCATTAAATGTGATTTATTTCATTTATTGTGCAATAATATTGATATTCGTGATTATCGTGAATATGCATTAAAAAATATTATTAATATAATATTTTTTATTTATAGTTACAAAGCGTTAAAAGCATTAAAAAATGTTTCGATGCCATGTCATACATAAAATTTTTCTTTGTCAACTTAAATTGTTTAAATCTTTTTGCAGACTAATTAAACAAATTCAGATTATTTTCATTCTCAATTACTTTTATAATCTTATTTAATATTCGTTTATATGGAATATAATTCGAGATTCAAAACGCGTGTGTGCTAAATACATTCCAGATCGTAAACATCATTCTCTTCACATCTGCGATATGTTTCGCCACGAGCGTCGCAACTTCGACTGGCATTTCCGTCACGTCAGCAACGTCTGCGAAATCGAAACGTGTAATCGTAGATCCCGATCATAATATCCACAATAATCAAGAGCAATCCAGAGGTACTCAAACTACCTCGAAAATCTCGTTGCCTCAGGATATTAACTCAAGATCATCGCCTCGTTACGGAAACGCCAAGGCAACGGATCCTCAAAGAGTATCCTACAGTATTCCGAATCGCGAATCTGATTCTCACGCGTACGGCAGCGTGCCAAAGCGGCCGCTTTCCTATATTTCTTCTCCCGTCCACCAGGTCGAATCTCATCGGAGCAATATGCTCGCTCCGTATTTCGGCGTATTGAATAATCCCGACGCGTACAAAGCTGTGAGGAGCGCCGAGAAACCGCTAGATGCACCGAAATCGATCGTCTCGCAATCGCTCCAAAAACTGCAGGGCACCTACTCGCCGAATTACAATGCTTTTCAGGATAAACCGATTGAATTGACCGGATTTTCCGACTTCGAGTATCCCTCGTACAGCACTATCAATAAACTTATCGCTCAAGCCGCTCGCCAGAACGATGCTTCTTCGCCCACCGTACAAGTGCCGGTGTACAAAATGAGTTATCCTTTATCAAAAGCTACCGATTACGCGCACATATACGCGCCGAGCATTTCAACAGTGTCAAGCGTTACTCCGTCATCGGACAAAACCACTCAGAGCCCCAAACAAAATGATGAAGCTACCGTAGACGTGAACGGTAAGAAAATTTCGGTTCCGATCATTCAACTTCAGAGCAATCTGGACTTCTCGGAAGTTTTGCCCGCCTTCGAGAGTCAGCCGTTTCTTTTAAGCGCGAACTATCCGACCGAATCGGACGTGGTATTTAAGTTTGGAGGCGGGCCAAAATTCAATGCGGCTCTTCAATCAAAAAATGTTTCGCCGTTTTCGTCGCCTCTGTCCAGTTTCCAAGGTCAAGTTGTGCCAATCCAGACGATAAACGGTAACCCGCAATTTCCACAGTACAAAGGCGCCAGCATAGAAACTTATCCTGTTCCAACTAATGTTCCTAAAACACAAGGCAATTACGAGTCTCTTTATAGTCAACCACAATTGCATTTTGGCAAAGAACATAATAGCAACGTGCAGCCTCTCAATGTACGACCAAACACCGTCCCTTTCGTTTCAACGCAGGATATTCTGAATGATGTAGAACTCGTCAATAAGAAAAATCCCGAACCGCACACACCCCAACTGGACGCTGATAAGGACGATGATAATGACGAAGATAAGGAAGATGAAATGAGTTTGTATTATTTTGTAACGTGTGTATTTTATTGAAAAAAATTTTTAGTCAAGTCTAATATTAATTTATAATATTATTAAAGTTGATGGATTTTTAATTTATTTCAAATTTAATAATCAAGAAGAAAATATTATAAAATAATATACTATTGTCATGCTTAAAAATATTATATTATCACACTATTTTTATTAAATTTTTACTTAGATAATAGATAGAATATTTACCTACATAATACTTAGAAATATATTTAAAATGCATATTTATACAAGAAACAATATTTTCAGGATACAAAAGTCCAGAGAAGGAATACGAAAACAGTTCTGAAGACGACGATGTCGAGCGTCAGCAAGGAAAGTATTTCAAAGAGCCACCAACGGAAAGTGACTTCAAGCCTTCGACGTTTTATCCTTTCAAAGAGTACGATGAAAGATTTGGGAAGCACAGGACGCAAACTGATGACGACGACTCCGAGGATAAACCATATTCCAGATATAAGAATTATTCATCATCAGACGACGAAGAGGAAGAAGACCCATCATCGGAGTACCGTGCTGAATACACTGAATCCTCAAAACCATCGCATGATTCGTATGAAGAAAAAGATGAGGAAGAGGAGGAGGAGGAAAGCCGCAAGCAAGAGAGACGCGAGGAAGCCAAAAAAGATTTCTATGAAATGGAACCTCAACGATCTAAATATTACCAAAAAGACTTTGAGCAGGAATTTGAAGATTCTTACAGGGAAGAACTACCGAAACAAGGTAAATTTGACACATTATGGGATAAATTATTTAATCATAAAAAATTTTATATTTTTTATTTGTAATAAGAATAATTATTGAATCAATGTTTCTTACAGAATATGTGCACGTGAAAGAAGTTCCAGAAATAGATAGTTACATTGATTCGAAACCTAAACAAGAAAAGAATAATAATCGACCTCGTGTAAATCAGAGACAACTCAAAGAGGCGAAGAGTCAGGAATCCCGCGTTTCCTTAAAAAATCATAAAATACCTAAAGTAAGTTACAAAGATAGCACAGCATATGGTTCGGATATCTCCGTTACAAAATCGCTTAAAGTCTACGAGGGGTTCTTCGGAAATAGAAATCCGGAAACTGGAAAATATTCTAAACATGCAAAACCTGAGAAGTTCTTGCCTATTAAGAAATCGCCGAAGGAAGACGACTATTCTCGTTCTGCTAAATACTACAAGTACAAAAGTCCGAAGACCGGCAATAAACTCTCTAAAGACAAAAATCTGCATCTGTATTCTCGGTCGAGTAAAAACTCACCTGAAGAAACGGCCGCTAGATCAAACGTTAGACAATTGACAGATTCTAGCGACAGAGCTGCCTTTTATGGGCCAATTATAGTGAGCGGTCAGGTGCATTCTCTTACGGACGCAGAAATTTTTCGTGACTTAACAGGAATCTAAATCATTAACCAAATATTAAGTTAAGAAAAACTATGTATGCGTATTCTCAAAGAAAATTCCCGTGAAGAATCTTTAACAGATATAGTACTAAGGAAAATGAATTTTTATGTGTGGCTTTCTTTAAAGAAATCAAGTATTACACATATGCATATTTGTTGTTGTTATACTTTTGTTTTTACTAACTTTACAATATTGCAGAATAACAAAATATATTCCACATATTTTATTTTTAATTCTTTATGTGTTTATTAAATATTTCGTTCTGTTTGCAATATATATATTCAAATTATTATGTTATAATATAAATTGTTTGTTAGAAGCTATAATAAGCTATAATAAATCTTTTATTTTTTTTGACAGATAGTATTAATTTGTTTAAAAAACACATAGTAATAGTTTTATAAAAAAAACTCAAATTCTGTGTGTCAAAGAGCCCAAGAATTAAAAAAATCTAATAAAAATTAGAAATATAAATTTTTATGAATCTTTAAAATAAAAATATGTTTAAATAATTAGTTTTATTTTTTGATCATTTTAGGAAATTGTTTCTCAATTCAAATTAAATAATAATCTAACATTAATATTATATTTCTTTTTTCTTTTTGTATTTTATTATTCTATATTTAATTAAATTATAATTATAATTTTGTTATTATTTAAGTATTGTATTTTTTCTTAATTTTATTAGTTAATTATAATATTTTTAATAATATTATAATTAAATTTTGGACATTAATAATTATAAAATTATTATTTTATATATTATTAACATTTAATTTATTTTATTAAAAGGAAAAATTATTTTCATTTTATTTATATCTATTATAAAAATATTTTATATTTATTTAATTTTACATTGTGGCCAATTTCTTAGGATCATGTAAGTGCAGCAAATAATATAGAAGCGTAAACAATATCTACTCATTATGAAGATCGAACGTTCTCTCGATTTCTATTAACTAAATTTAATTGACGTCTATCATAATAGAGGAAGTATTTTGTACGTACTGGCAACTGGTAAACTACTTCCTGAGTTTGAGGACGAGATATGATCTTTGTCCATCGATCTCCAAGGTGTGAGTGGTCTCGTACAGTGATTGTATAGCACACGTCTTCCAGAATCATCATTAGGCAATGAAGGTCTATAATTCTGTTAGCGATATGTGAATGTTTACGTACATTCTTGTAATAGTTTTAATTAATTCTATGATTACTTCGGAACGCTAAAACATTCTCCCTCATATCACAAGTTGTATATATACCGGAGACTCACCAGTGGAGGATTCAGTATCATCAGCAACATTTCTTGCAAGATGAAGGTTCTCGTAACGGTAATTAAACTTAAACATATTTTTGTCTTGACCAAAGATCTAAATTTTATGGACATAATACATTTTATATTTTATATAATATATATTTTATAAAATTATAATAAAAAGCTTTATTTGTAAAATTAACTTATATTTATACATGTAATTTTAGTTTAAAAAAAATAATTTTAAAAATTTAATTTTAAAAATTGCTATAAATAATTCTTTTATGATTTTAAAGTTTTTTTTTAAATGATCAATTGATCTGTAGATCGTGCTTTTATCTGCCGTTGCGTCCGTGGTAGAATTGAAATCAGAATCAAAGAAGTATAAACGCGGAGTGGCAGTTTTCGGCTCGCCTGATTTCTTTGGAATCGTGCCAGCCTTCGCTCCTTCATCGTGGGCCCCTACGAGTTTTGCAGCTTCAGCCTGGAATCCACCTATCGCCCCAGACGTAGCGCTTGCACAGGTTCAAGTGCAAGCCACTCACAATGTGGCACTTCAGGTACAGGCATATATTTTATGTTACATTATGGCCTCTATATATACAAGAATATATTTGCTATCAATTTGCGTGACAGACTTTGAAGGATCCGGCGGCCGGTACGCCCAGCATCGCGTACCCGCCCGAAGTCTTGAAAGCAATTCAACAGGCAAAGGAAGCGAATAACAATGTTGCCGTGGCGCAGCATAAAGTTGCAGAGGCGAAGCAAGCCGCATTGATTCAGCAGAAAATTGCATTGGCAAAGGAGGCAGCGGCGAGAGAAGCTGCCGCGAGGTATACGAATAATTCATTTCCTTCGATTTTTTTGTTATTATATCTGACGTTCCATCACAAATTGTTATGTTGCATCCGCTATCTGCACATGTGTGATATTTTACTTTTTGCAGGTCGCATGAAATTTCGCAATATGCCGAGGGTGAAGCTAAAGCCAGCGCTCGACAACTCGTGGCGCTGCAACAGAGATTAGCAACCCTAAAAGATGCTGTAGCAGCTGCACAGAGAGTAGCAGCGGCAAGGGAAGCCGCCGCAGCTGCGGCAATCCAAAGAAACGCAGCCAACACCGCTGCAGAATTGCAGAAGCTGGATGTTGATAAGCAGATTAGTCAAAGCGAGCAGGAAGCTAAAGTAATATTACAAAAATATATTTTTTTACATTACATTTTTCGTGGAAAAACATAGAACTGTTTCTTCTAATATTAATATACATTTTATATAATAAATTATTATTGCTGCATTACTTATTATAATTTACTAACATTAATTTATTATATTTATTATATTATATATATTATTAATTTATTATATTATATTTATCTAAACTATCTGATTTAAATAGGAAAAGGATGTATTAGCTGCAAAAGAAAATGCAATAGCAAATGCAGTCCAGCACGCAAGCTTACAGAAACCTGCTCACCATCCTTGGGGTTAAAAATTATTTTGTGACAATATATACATTTTACACATATCATTACCGGCTCATATTATGTATTAATGGTGGCGGTGACATAAAAGGACATTTAAAATGTTATAAATATAATTTTGTAATTGTTATATGTAAAAACTGTTTCATCAATAAAAGTTACATATAGTTTATTTGGCGAGTTTTTTATGAGAGATTTTACATATTTTTTAAATTAATCATTTATTATCAATTAAATTATTAATTAATCATCAGTATATAAAGAAATGATACATGCGTTTTTCAATGTATATAGTAAACTCTATATTTTTACATCAATATCTTACACACACACACACATATATATAACTTTAATTTGAATCTAAATTATGCAATTTTAAAGTGTCTTATAATAAATATATATAATAAATATATAATAAATTATTTATATAACTTAAAATAAAATTCTCTTTACAACTTAAATATTTTTTAAATAATAAATTTTATAGGAAATATTATTATTAGCGGTTGGTAGAAACAGGTACATTATTCATTGAAAATTACTTATATATATTTCACATAAATTTATCATTATGTTCATATAAATATATAAATAAATTTTATTTTGAAATATTATCAGTAATAGAATAAAGTTAAAAATTCTATTATTTCTTAATTGAATGCTACGTTTATCATTATATGATAGCTTAGTGACACAGCTTATCATTAGCTGGCAAAATATTAATCGTATTAATTATAAAAGAAATATGTAAGATATATTTTTCATAAACTAAAGAGATAACAATAAAAAATTATTAATTATATAATGTAAATGTAATGTCAAATTATATTGTTAAATTATATTGTTAAATCAGTACATATTAATATAGAATCTAAATATTCCATAAATTTTTTGAAATAAAGAATTCTAATTTTAAATTTATATTATATATTTTATATATAAAGAACTAATTTTAAATTTATATTATATATTTTATATATAAAGAATTAATTTAAGGTTGACAAAAACATTTTTAATTTAAAAAATCAGTTCTATTTAGTTTTTTATATTTAATTTATAACTGTATGTTCATATTGTATTAATGCACTGTACATTGATGTTGATTTAAATATTTTACTTTGATGCTATTTGATGAATATTGATTTATGCTTATTTCCTTGCAATAAGGATTTTTAAAATAAATAATTTATTTATTATAAAATATATTAGAGGATTTCGATATAGATAAAGAAGCAATTATGAAAAAAGGAAGCAATATAACGAAAATATCAAACCATTAAATCTTGGAAAGTCACGCTTTTTTGACAGAAACAATGTGTCTGGAATGATCATTAATTATTCAAAAATGTAGTTTTTTTATGGAAAATCTAAAGAAGAATACATGTTCTTTTAACAATCATACTTTCTAAAAAAACAGAAGTGAGAGAAAATCTCGCTCATCATGATGCAAACGTCTTTCTGTTTCATCAAAACAAATTATCATAAATTATATTATTTAACATTTGTGTTATATTGATCAACCAATCATTATTTTATAACTTATGTCTTAAAATAATTTAGTAAATAATTTAGCAAAAATCAAATTTTGTAACTATCGAATTATTTAACAGGTATTCTTTTAAAATTATAGGGATTTTTTCACATTCTAGAGCATCTTATGCTTCAGATTATAGATTTACTTTTCAAATTTCTATTCATTTCCATCGTCAAAATTGTCTCCTACAGGAAGTAGAAAGTGAAAGTTCCAATAACCTTTCCGGGAGAATCAACAGACAATGGAAGTAATGTTAGAATGTCCAGTTACGTGGGACGCCGATTTCAAATTTCAACTTGCATCCTGCCATCAGCTATCTGGGCGTAGTCGTAAACACCAAATCTACAACTGTGCATACACCCAGCGAATGTACCAAGATCCTTTCACTCGCCTCTTCCTTTCTTAGTCATCTTGGATTTCCCCTCGCGTATCGTTACCCTTACGGGGCCGCCAAGAGTTCTATGAACTATACGCGGAAGAAAGTCGTTCGATCAAAGTCACTCTTTCCGTACTTCCCGGACCACTAGTTCACACATTTGTCTATTCATAAGGATAATGAGTCGCTCTTTTAAAGTTTCGAAAAACAAGACCGCGTGATCAAGTCTTTACTTTAATACAAGTATAATCCGACAATAAAAGATTGGAAGAACAAGGAAAAAAGAGATACATAACATAGACAAAAATACGATGAATATTATGTAAAAGAAAAATTATTTAATAAGGTGATTTATAAAATTATAAAATTGTGTTAAACAAATTTTATTCGTTAATTTGTATTTTTTAATTCTTAATAATTAATTTTTACAGCCGTAACTTTGATATAAATACAATAAGGTCTTATAGTTATAACTAATTTCTACTTCCCTCCTCCTCCTCTCTTTCTAAATTTTACAATTTCTAATTTCAGATATATCAAAACTTTCTACAGAGAAATAATTATATATTGTTAAAAAATTATACTTCAATGTGTGTATCTCGTCTAAGTAAAACTAGAAGTACAATTTAAGTGAAATTATATTTATTGTAATTGTCTTGATCTTTGTATGGATAATACAAGACGGTAATCATAGAAATTAATCAACAAGATTGATTAGAGAAACAAAAATTAGGACTGAAAATACGATATGGTCTTCGACAATACAGTTGAAGAAATAAATATGCACGTTAGATTATACACATATAGATTATACACCTATATAATTACCATCATGATTAATCTTATAATGATTAATAGCCAGATACAACAGATAATGCATATGCATGATACCAAGAACGAAAGATTTCCATGTCAGAATACATATGTAGTTGATATCAAGATTCTGCTTCATAACATTTACTGCATAAATGTTATTGTGTAACTATAGTAAATTCGTTTTATACCTGTGTAACAAGTCATGCAGATATCGACGTTTAAGAGATATCGGCGCAAACACATTTTTTATAAAAAAAATATATATATTAGTTATACACGCCACACACACACACACACACACACACATCACAATTATCCGTACATAATTATCCGTAAAATTGAATTTGAGTGGTGAGTTTAAATGATATGGAAAGCGACAGAGGTTTCGCTTGTTTACTTCAAGATAACATTCATACGTTAAAAGCGATGATGCAGTCTGAAAGACCACGCGTCTTTTAAGCATCGATGAACACAGCAGCCTGATTAAATGTGGTCAATCATTCGCGTTACAGCGGCGATAAACGTGATTTTCAATGCCGCTCGAGAGATCCACCTTTCACACCGAATCGGATAATGCTTTTTTGGTCGCGTCTTTTCCGTCACTTTTTTTCTATTAACTTCTCCTTCACCCAGTTTTATTTGCTTTCCTTTCTTATTGCGTGCATCGGCCACTCTCACTGGAATCTAGCCTGTAACCTGATTTTTTAATAGGCACGTATGTAAAGTCAGGCGATACTCCTGGCGCCCGGTTATTAATGCCTCTAAGTAAACGACAAGATCGGAATTACCTGCAGCACATTTAAAAAATAAATAATTCTGTCCGAACTCTCTTCGAACTCGTATAATGATGCTAATGACTTTAAGTTGAAATATACCTTTTGTTCCATGCGAGATTGTTCAGACAAAACCTATCATTTAGGTTCTAAAATTATAACTGTCTTACCGATTTCTTCAAACATGTGATAAATCAGCATGATAAATTTATCGAATCCTTTCTACTGAAAAGAGAATTTGAAATAACTAATTTTGATATCCGTGCAGCGTATCACGAACCAAATGTATATTACAATATTATTCGTTCAATGATTGAAATATCGGTTAATGATGCTTTCTCGCGATTAAATCAAAGTTTGATATAGTTACATTGCGGCAACGTATATTATAAAACGTATATTAGCTTCATAATCATAGGAATATTTTTTATTCTTGCGGACAGAAATAATTTCTGTTTTACTCGTATTGCGAAATATGAGGCCTAGATGCGTAATAATACGTAGAAGCTCCGTAAAAGAAAATCATAGTGCACAGATATAGATATTTCCATTTCACTGCACTAGCGATAAACGTGTCATGAAAGAAGAACACGTTTAACGAAAAGGAAATCACTTTCATATATCTATATGTAAAATGACGATCAGTTTATGTAGGTGTTCAACACGTTCGTTGGTTGTTCGTTATAATTTATTCATTCCAGTGATTCAACGCATTTTATCACGTTTTCTCGTGGAATCGAGAAAACGTGATAAAATGCGTTGAATATATGACTTTTTTAAAAAAATCGTTGAACAAACGAGTCAAAAAGTCATATAGTTTTTATAATCATCTTTCAATTACTGTAAAGAGCTGTCATTGCTCTTTAATCAAATTATTTTATGGATTTCTATTTCACAACATTTCATAAGATTTATCACAATTGTGAATTTTTATTTTACTTATTACTAGTTTTTATTTTATTTATTTTCTATATCTTTTAAAATTTATAACTTATTTTTTATGTAAGTTGCGCCAATTCTTTTTTTATACAAGGACATACATTGTGATACATTGTAATGTCTTTTTTCTTAATCATTTACTTTTTATACCGTATTAATCCCTTTGCAAAAATAAATCTATTTTAATAAATTGATGGCTGAGAAAGGTTAATTAATATTCCACCTACGCTCCTTGAGTTATGACATTGAAACATTGCAGTACGCCGATTGAGAATCGCTGGTGATCCTCCGCAGCATCACAACGTCACTCGCAATCAGATCGAAAACACCTTATTACCTCGGTTGACTGGACTTGCATCCTCGAGTTTCAATCTAATAATTTCAATGCAGTAGGATCAAAAACTAGACTAGTTTTTGATTTATTTGATGCGTCAGATATAGGTGTAGATATGCGAGTCCAGTTTCCACGGGAGATCATCTATGTACTGGATGAGTAGGGGAGAGGGAGAAAGCGTCATGTATAAAAACGAACGGTCCATCGGAATCAATCCGCAGTATCACATTCGTTGTCCCGTTCATGCTCGTATCTCTCATCGCGACGTGCGTTCTGAAAAATGCTCCATCTGCCCTCAGTAAGTAATAAAAGACGGATAGAGGTTCCGAGGACTGTGACGGGAGTCGCGTGGGAATTGCGGAAGCGGAGATTCACGGCGCCCGGGTTCCTCGCCCGACTCGGCTCGCGAGCGAGTTCCGGTTTTACGGCGAACAATGGCAATGGAAAGTGATCGTCGATATTTCCATACCTTCCGTGCGCGATACACGGTAGCACTCTCATAGATTCCGGATATCTCGTGAGTGATGATGCCGAGTTTGACGCGTCGCCAGCAGCACTTTTCTCGGAGGGAAGAAAGATCATTGACGAATGTTTTTCTAAGTGTTCACTCGCGAATAAGATGTTTCTTGCTTGCATTTCGCTGCTTTGTTCATTGATGACGTATTCATGTCATCAAACTAAATAATTGAGAGTTTCATCGTAACGGTAGGACAAAGGTGATGCACTTAAACTAAGATTGCACAAATCTTAAACAATTTATAACAATATTATTTTTAGATCACATATATTTTATAAAATTGGTCTATTAACAAGAAATAATATACTGAGAAGATAAAAATTTGTTTACGAAAAAAATTTTGCATATTTAAATTTTGTTTTCTTAACTTTTATTTATATATTTTTATTGCGATTTTATAAAGAAGGCGATAACTGTAATTTTTAAAAAATAAACTAAACTTTATAAATAAAATTTTTAAAATTATTCTTCATATTTCTATATAACAATAATCCGCGAGAAACAATTATTAAAAATGGGGAAATTATGATTAAGCAAAAAATTATTAATTTCTATTCTACTATTCCAGGTACTTGGTGCATGTTTATTAATTAAAATAACGTTTGCTAGTATTGCAGCAAGTAATTCTGGGTGGCATGAGTAAGTAAGAGTGAAATGAGCAAACTTGATGATCGTATTCATGGATTCCTAACGTTCTATTGTACTACTTTTAATTACTATCTTAATTTTAATAGAATGCCTAGTTACGAAACTACCAATCTTGGCTTTAGTGGTCACAACTTAAATGTTCATCAAGATTTTTCTTCTTTTGGATACTCCTCATTCGGAAATGGTGGCGATCTTCACGTACGATTAGATCAAGGATTTAAAGGCGGCAATGTTCAACACACAATCGCTCAAGCTATACCGATCAGCGAGCATATTGAAGTTACAAAGCCAGTGGCAATACCAGTAATAAAAAATATCGGTAAGATATTATAAGCTATAATATAATGTATTAGATAATAAAAAATAGAATAAATAATAAATTATTTGTATAGTCACAGAAAATAATAATTTTAGACTTTATTTATAATAATTACTTAATATTAAAATGACAACATAAAAAAATCTTATATAACTTATATTACTTGATAATTAATAAATATAATGTGATAAATATTTGTTTATTTGTATTAAATGCAAATTGCAATTTTTTTATTTAAAATAACAAAAGTATTTAAGAAAAGATTATTGATTTATATATTATTAGCAATTAATAATTAGCAATTTGAATAAAGAAGCATTGAAAACAAAATGAAAAAATGTATTTGCCAAATAATTCTGTATTTATCGTGTGAAAGTAATACTCATGAGAGTAATATTCATGAAAATATTCTTATCTAAATGATCGATACGCAAGAATTTGCGAAAAATGAAATTTTCATCAAAATATTGAAGTATGTTATGAAACTTTAATTATAAAAATTTTATTTTTTACATCTCACTTCCTATTTTCTCAACTAGATATTATGTTAACAAAAACATTTTTTTAAACACAAATGAGTTTTTTTTAATTTTAGACTATCTATTATTTAACTAATAATGAGTAAATAAATCTATACATATATTTATAATATTATAATGTTATATTATACTACTTAAATTATGTCATATAATAATGCCATATAATCATAATATAACACATATAATATTTTAATTATATGTGTTATTATATGATATTATAATTTAAATACTATTATGTCGCAAGCATTATACTTGATTAATGTTATCATTATATGATAGCAAAATAAATAAATATTAAGAAAATAATTTTACTTCATGAAAAACAGAGTGAATCTGATTTCATATTTTTTTATTATTCCGTATCATTAAACGATTAAGACTGATTGAAACATTTTATATTTTTTTTGCTAGCTCTGATATTAATTTTCAGTAGAAAATTAAAATTAAAATTTCTATTATAATCTATAGTAAGAGTAATAAATTAAAAAAAGATTATCTTAAAGATTGAACATCTTTCCCTGAATAATGTATATGCTCAAGAAATAAAGAAAGAAAAAAATATGGAGTAAATTATTACATTTCTTACATTTTTGAAATTATAGGAGTCCCAGTAGTACAACCCATGACGATTCCTGTGCCACATCCTATGGCGATAGCTATTGCTCAACCCTATCCCGTCCACATGCCGGTTGTCCAACCGGTCGCCATGCCAGTTGTGAAAACCATTGCAATTCCAGTCGAGAAGAAAATACCATATCCGATAGAGAAGATCATACCAGTACCCGTGGAAAAGCCGGTGCCAATAACTATTGAGAAACATGTGCCAGTTCCAGTGGAAAAGCCATATCCTATTCACATTCCAGTTTATAAGCATGTTTATCACCGAAAAACAAAGAAACACGGTCGCAAGTGGAGACATTGAAAATTATACTTATGGGATATTCTAGTAACACGGATAATTATTAATTCGTGAAGCATCTTCTCGAAGCCAGATGAAGCTAAATGGCAATATATTAAACTTATCTTTATTAAGAGTTGAACTCTGCCAGAAGCAAGATTTGTAGTTATATTTGTTAATAATAATGTGATGTGATAATGAAAATTATTTTATTATTTGTATTTTGATAAAGCTATTGTTGTTATATCCATACTTATTGGCATGCACTGTTTGTTGCTGCCGAATAATGATTTTATTTAATAAAAAAATTATTTTTTGTATTATGCGTAATATTATTTACCTGATATAATATTATTTACCTGATATGCGTTTATAAAATGACATAAAAATATTAATAACAAAATAAAATAAAATAATAAATCTAAATAAAGACGTAATTAACGTAATTAATCAAATTGATTGTAAAAATTAATTTAAAGTTAACAAAGATTTCAGATTTAACTTCACATTTTAATATTTTTCCATTTTATATCATAACAAATCTCCTAGATTTCTATTTTTGTATATCTATTGCATGTTTATAAGAAATAAGTTAAATTAAATCTTTTAAATTTATTTCTGGAATTTAATTAATTAATCATTTCTATTTACAACTAGATCTTTATTTATTTTTTATCATTAAATTGTATATTTAAGAATTTCATTTCACAATTCATTTTTTCATAATAATACATTCATTTTTCATAATATACATTTTTCTTAATAATAGAAAATTTTTTTATTAAGAAACAAAAATAACTTTTTGTATATACTTAATATGTTTTAAATTAATTTCTAAAAATTTTATATCAAAATTTTCTTTTATATATTAATTTTTATTGTAAAATAATTAATTACAAAATTTATTGTTATATAAAAGCAAATTATTAATAATGTGTTGAATAAATATGTTTTATAATTTTACATGAAATATAAAAATTAAGAAAAATTAAGAAGTATGTAGTTAAATTTGTAATTTTTATACAAATTTTTATACAAATATGTATATATTAATGCCTTTTTTATGTCAAATATAGAAATAAAACAGGGAAATGAAAATTATTGAGAAATCAAAAATAAAATAAATTTATATATCATATATACGACTTAGATATAAGATGTATGTATAGTGTAAAATTACATGTACCTTCACTTCCTTTCATTTCCGTATAATTCTCACGCACTATTATTTCAGCAGATTGTAATAAATTGTTAAAAATTTAATGATTATCAATTGATCACAGATTACTTCCTGGAAATTTTTATAATATGTCTTTATTTGTACCTTCAAACAATTTACTCAATTTATTACTATATACGTTGTAATTCTTTTGGATTCTTCGGAAGTAGTCACAGTTCAGTAAACCAGCGATTTCATTCGGAATCTTTCGAGCTCGGAGGAGCCAAAGCATGAAAGTATTCATTTTATACTTTTATTAATTTTAGCCTTTTATATCCAATTATTTTTAATGACTTATGAGACTCAAATTCACTCGGTAGTTGATTTTTTTAAATAAATTATATTATATTATATTTATATTATTTTATATTATATTATATTATATTTAATATATTATGTTATATTTATATAAATTATATAAAGAACATTTCACTGACAATTAACTTCAACTTTTAGACTATCAATTTTTAAAAAATTATTCATAATTGTATCATATTATCATAATTTTGACATATTAATAAAAATAAATTCTAATTTTTTTTTTATTTTTGTAGAAAATTAAAAATTTAGGAATCTGTTTTATTTTTTTGTTTAGAAGAAAATATTCCACAAAGATTGAATCCCACTTACTTTTGAAAGTTTAATGGAAAATTACACGAATCAACATTTCAGAAACAGCACGCATCAAATCACTTAGGGGGCTTTGTTTTCTTGCTAATTATTATAATAATAAAAAATTAGTTCACCATGTAGTCGAGTACATCGTTCACACATTCGTTATGCTCTCTTCACAAATAGTAAAGTTCATGTGTTGCACGTGTGCATTAAAATTACTCTTTCGCGTTTTGTAATTAAATCGCTATTTGTCGCGTAAATCGCATAAGATAATTATCAATTTTGCCAGAAATAATGAAGCTACAAAGATGAAAAGACGAATAATACATATATAGATTATATTAACTTCCTTTCATAATATTCAATAAGCATCTTTTACTTGAATATCTTTTAATTGCAAAATTTTTTATATATACATAATTTTTACATATACATAATTTTTTATTATATAATAACGTGACAAAATTTAAAATTTTTAAATAATATTTTATTCTTAAAGAAAAACGCTTTATTTTATTATTTATTTTATTAAACAACAATTTTGTAAATAATATCTAATTAAATTATTATGTTTGTGAAGAAATCAATAAGAATTTCATAGAAAAATAAAGTTCTATATTCGACTAATAATAAATATCTATCTCAATAACAGAGAAAAATTTATTCTTTTCAAGGTATATTATCAAAATGCGATAAAAAGTGATAATAAAAACGATCGGTTTAAAACGTGAGATTAAGATGACTAAATGGAATAATGATCTCGCGACGAACGAATTTAGTGACTTCTCCATATGAAGCATTGGTGTAATGGAAGAGTGGTAGATAGTGAACCTGGTGAACGTGGAAATCCGCACTCATAGACACTCACCCGTATCACGGAATAGGAAATGTCCGTTTCGTTGTCAATGCGAAGGCCGCGAGGACACGGTCAATTATTTTCACGCGCACAAGCTGCAGAGAAACAATTGCACCGGGCGGGCGTAATTCGCTGCAGTGCAAGGCGAGACGAAATCACATCGTCTACAGTGAAAGGCCCAACGGTATATTAAGACGAGAAATGGCCGAAGATGTATCAGTCGTTCGAGAGACTTGCGCTATAAGCAACTTGAAGCTCACTAGTGAAATATACGTGGGAGAATGAATTTAATTGTAAGTATAGTGTAAATTGCTGGATCGCCCGATTAACGCGATTTAATAAGAATTCGCATCGAACTAAAGTTAGAGAGATCATAACTTTATTTAAAAAATTTTTATCGATATTTAACTTATGTTGATTTTACACTCAATTAATTTATAATTTTTAAATTTTAGTAATCTTTTTTCACATAGCATAGTTAATAAATATTCAATTTAATATGCATTTAAAGATTAATTTAATATAATTTAAAGTTTTAAAATACATATAAATCTTTTTTATAAAAATTTTTTATGAAAATTAAACTAACAATTAGAAAAAAGAGTAAAAAGTTTTTTTACATTCGTATACATAGTCACGTAATGACGAATTTTTGCAAGAATTACTATTATATTTTTCTTAAGTAAAACACGCATTTTTCATAATTCATTATTTATAGGTACTGCTTTCTCTGGTGTCCTTGGCCGCGGCCACGCCGGTGATCGTGAACCAAGATGGAGGGCACTATATGATGCAGTTATTTAGTGACCAATATGCGATCGATCGATCCGATCAAGAGATCGCTGGTACTTCCGGTAGCGGTGGTTATGGCGGCGGCTACGGGGGTAACTATGGGGGTAGCTACGGAGGTGGTGATCTCGGAGGTAGTGGTCATGGGGGTGGTAGTTTCGACGCTGGTTCCAGTGGGCATTTAGAATCTGGTGGTTTTGATGGTGGTCATCAAGATTTCTCTTCCGGTGGATTCGATGGTGGTCACGGCGGTGACGATGGCGGTCACGGAATCTCGTTGGATAGCGGGCATAATTATGTTCATAGTGTTCCCGTCTCTGAGCACGTTGAAGTGACAAAACCCGTGGCTGTGCCAGTCTACAAACATATAGGTAACGCATTTTTTCTAAACTTGAAAGTCATAAAATTAGAAGTTACGATGTTACAAAAAAAAAACGGTCTTTTTATTAATAATTATAGAAAATGCTTTTTAAATTAATTAGATTATTTTTTTGGACCATTTATGCATTAACAATAAAAATATGAATTTATAATTCTTGCTATTGCTTTTGAATGCACATATATGGCCAAGTATAATATAATTATTTTTTCACTCTATGTATACAAAAAACTTGGTACATAGATAATATCACGTACAATATTTCTCAATCATAACAAATAAAAAGAACTTCAAATATATTTTTTTCTCTCATATTATTATTTACTAAAGATAGGTTTTTATTTTTCTCGAATCGTTATCTTTCAGGTGTGCCAGTTCCAAAATCAGTGCCGATAGCCGTGCCGCATCCAGTAGCAGTTGGCGTCCCACAACCTTATCCTGTTCATGTCCCCATACCGAAGCACGTTCCCATACAGGTCGTGAAAACGGTGGCAGTTCCGGTAGAGAAGAAGGTGCCTTATCCCGTGGAAAAGCATATTCCAGTTCCCATCGAGAAACCAGTTCCCATTACAATCGAGAAGCACATTCCTGTCCCAGTCGTGAAGCCATATCCCATCAGAATTCCCGTTTACAAGACCATTTATCATCATGCGAAGAAGCATTAAAGCGTGCCTGTGGTATGGAGGATTCCTATGGGTAGAGGAAAGAACGCGGTACATTTAGCTTCGAAGTGGCTCTCAGCAATCCACATCTTACAACTAAGTGAATTTTATAGATCTACATATCAAAATACGTCAAAATATTCACGTCAAAATATTCGTCATTTCACGTTTGCGTTAAAAATGTGTGATCGAGATAAAAAAAAAGAAGAGTGCTCATTTAGCATAGAAATATTTTTTACATCCGCGACAAAGCAATTATAATATCATTACGTTCATTGAAAAAGACAAATATCACTATCTTTAAAAAATAATTGCGTATAGTTAAAAAATTTATTTCAATGCTAGGATTGCTCAGGGTTAATTCAATTGCATTAGTTACCAGCTGTTCAATCTAACTTTATACAAGAGTTTATTAACTCTGTGGATGAAATTGTTGTGTAAGGACCATCAACTTGAACCAAACTGATCGACATGTTTACCCATTCTAATCCTTACTTGCCGTCAATGAGGAGAAAGTTTACAAAAAATGGCGCATGTTTGTTCCATCAATCAAGCGTTTTTCGACTTCGATTTATTTTTTGTATATATGTATAAGCGCGCATAAACGTCGGCACAACCGACGTGTTGTTAAGCTACTTTTTTTAACATTTGTTGTTCTTGTTGCGTTTTTGAATAAAATACTTACAAAACTATATATTCTCGTTGTTTTTACTAGTGAAAGTCTGTCGTCGAGATCTTTCTTACTATCTCACGTATGTCAAGTATATGAAAGTGCTAGGATAATTTAATAAATTAAGAGAGAACGATAACGAGTTCAGATATAAATATAATAATTAAAGGCTGTCGGTTTTATTGTTTACGGTAATAATAAACAATTGGAATAAATTTGGAACTTAGCGTTATGACTTATATATAATAATGCGGATAGTATAAATGTCCGTTTTAATTAGTGGCGGATTGTTTAATTGATTTTCTGTTGACTTTTTACTTAACACATTTGAATTACAAAAGGTTTATTCTAATTTATATATTACATTTACACTTATACTTACACTTTTATATTTTCGCTTAATATAATTAATATTAATATTAATTTTTAATATTAATTTATTTTAAAAGCACACTTATTAGTTTTTTCAAGTTTAAAATTAAAAGTTGTCAAATGACGTAAATTTTATTGATTCACACAAGCAATGTAATCTTTTATTGTAATATTTGATTATTTTTTAATGAAGACAACTTGCGCTAAATTTGTATTGGTGGTAGTAATAGTAGTCAAACAGGCGTCGATTACATTCCACATGTATTTCATTATAGATCGTAGAGCGCGAGAGATGCTCTTAAGCTTTCACTATGATTTTCGGTAAGAGCATCGGGGAATTCCATGGAAAATAAATGGTTAAATAGATTGATTCACCCGCAATGGACGAGATCATCGTGGTCGCAAGCAAATCATCCATGACATCAGCAGTACTACTGTGTTTAACAAGATGAATTCGTCGATTCCAAGCTAACAAAAAATAACCAAGAAAATAAGAAGTAATTTGCGTAACTTACAAATAAGTAGCTACGTTTACAATGTGCAAAAAATCTTGAAAAGAAATATGAAAGCAAAACAAAAAGATTGCAAAATATGCTTCGGTTCTTCAGGATTATATTATTTAAGTATCACAACGCATTTTAGAAATACTGCGTCGCATTTTTTTTCTCGTTTTTAATTATCATTTTTTATAACAATTATAAAATATGAAATCCTTTAAATTTTCAAAAAAATTTACTTTTTTATTTCTTAAATAAATATCAACTATTCTCGTATGTTATTAATTTAAAAAAAATAAGAATTTTTTATAACAAATTTTTTTATAATTAAGTTTAAGTTACAAGAAGATTATATTTATACGAAAAACATTATACATAAATTGATAAGAAAATGAAGTAATAATATTTAATTATTAATGGAATAATCGTTTAGACGTTATGCAACATTTACGCGCAATAACGAACGATTAGTTCCTGAATCGAGTGATCCATGGCATCTACGGTGGGGTTATTTCGAAGAATAGTGGGGTTGCTTATTTCTCTGTGCGGGCGGTATATAAGATGACGATGAAAAGAAATTTTCTGAGAGTAGACTACCTATTCACTGACGCTACAGATACAGATATCTTAGCTAAGCGATGAAAAAAATTGTACGTAAAGGCCCGCCTCAGTTATATAATAAGCTGTAAACGATTTCGTGTTAAACATTGTATTTAATTTCTTGGACCTACGTGGACTCATGAAACGCATTTGTGCAACGAATAATTTCTCGTTATCTTAGAGGCCGGCAATAGCAAAGATGAATCACTTTCTGTAATTTCAGTGATATTTCATGTTTAAGATTGTGCTGTTGGCAGTCGTCGCCTGCTCCTACAGTTCCGGTTGGGACTTTGGAAATCATGATGGTGGCGGGCTTACTCTGGGAGAAATTTCTGTAGACCATCATGACTTAGGAGCTTTTAATCTAGGAGGTACAGGTTTGAACTTTTATTTTTTGTTGCCCATTAATCACTAATTTACATATCTGAAATGGGTTTTCTAATGTATAAGCTGTGAAAATAATAACAGCGTAGCCAGGGATTTATCGTGATAATTATAGCAAATGACTGCAGTTTTATCACGTAAGTGCCTTGTTGGACCAACTTGATAAATAAATTCTGACAAATGATTTTGAATTTTAGAAAGTCATTCCTTAGATACCTTGGATGATCATTCGTCAATTTTAAATAAAATTAATGGTTGGCACTCGGGTGGCAGTTTACATGGAGCCCATGTAATTCCTGTTGTTAAGCATATTGGTAATACAAATTTTATCGATTTTATTAATATATATTCTGATGTAGATTAAATAAAAAGCATATATATAATGTTTATAAAAATTTGCTAATAACTTTTAAATGAGCATTTAATTTTATTGCAATAATAAAATTAGAGTATACATATTAATTAAATGGTAACAGATTTTAATTAATATTTGCATTAACTTATTGCTACCTCAAGATCATTTATTGTTTATCAAACTTAATTTTTCTAGTTATTATATTAATTAATTAATGTATCTCGTTTGTATATTCACTCGAACGAATTCTACGGCAATAGGAGTACCAACGATCAAAAAAGTCCCGATCAGCGTACCACATCCGGTGGTGGAAACAGTCCCGCAGCCTTACCCCGTTCATGAGATAGTATCGAAACCTGTACCATTCCAGGTAGCTGCGCAATAATTATCCTTACAATAAAATCATTTTCCACTATCGCTCTTCTTGCTGAAAACAATCTTTTGTCTTTACAGGTGGAGAAGCAGGTAATTAAGACCGTCGAGAAAAAGGTTCCAACGCCCGTCGAGAAAATTATTCCAGTTAAGGTAGAGAAGCCTGTGCCGTTTCATGTGGTAAAACACGTGCCCGTACCAGTCGAAAAGCCAATTCCGATCAAGATTCCGATCTACAAAACCATCGTGCATAAAATCAAGGGTTAATTGTTACGATCTCTCTTTGTTATTAATATATCATTTTATATATCTGTTCCACATATCCAATGCAAGATGCATAGATGATACAAGAAGACAAAATATTTTATTATAATATTATAGAGCAACTATTTATTAAAATGTTCTCAGTAATGAAATGGAATAGAAAACTCGTTTTATTTTCATACCTGCGCACTGGTTATTAAATTAATTAAATTTTATAAAAAATTATTTTATATACGCATGTTTCTACACTGTCGTTATAACAACTTTCATTTTCACAATTAAAATCAATAATCGTTCAATGTAGAAATATTCATATAAAAAGTACTTATTTTATTATTTAGCGTGCTATATTAAAATTTATCGGATATTAAATTATGACTTCCTGAAAAACCTTATAAACTAAATTCTTCTAACTAAATTATCCAGCCAACATATTAGATGTTTTGAGAAAAGCGGAATCAACGAGCAAAAAGATGTGGTACTATAATTAAAGTGATAACGCCACGGTGATTCCGCTATTCGAATTCTCGTGGTAAATTGAAGCAAGATATTAATGACTGCTCGAGTATCGCGCTCGTTATTTTTACGGCCGCGCATAATCAGTCATGAATTTTCCAGACACCCCGAGAAAGATGCCTATACTATGAAACTATATATATAAAAAACGCTAATTTGCTAAATGGTTCGTCGCATACTAACGAACGCAGTTGCGATTAGTCCAGTTACAGTATAATAAGCGACACATAAAATTTCACCGTATGAATAATTCTCGCTGGAGATAAGAACCGACATGATCGCTAAACGTGCACAGTTCGCAATCGTTACTTGATTAGTTCCATCTAATAGGAATAGACCGATGCAGGACCATACGCGGAAACTCAAGTCAACATTATTCTCTTTTGCGAAACGAGTTATATATCTTGTTGGACAGATAATTTGTTACTCTGTTCGAGCAATTCTAAAGTAACTTATAATGGCCGGATATCTCATAAAAGACTTTTTATAAAAATCGATTTATTCTAAAACGTGAAGTCATAGTAAGTAAGTTAAAACTTGATCGAGTTTTAATGCCTCGAATACTTATAATGTCCACCGCGCTCAAACGCTTAAGTCATCAGTAAAGTCATCAAAAAATATTATTGCGCATTTCACTTTCTACTTCCCTTTACATTTTGTTACTAATTTTATTTAAATTTATATAACGACCATAATGCAATGAATTACGTTTTTACAAAAAACGACGCGGAAATAACACAACGATTTTGTACAGGAAAAACTAACATGGCAAAAGTGAAATGCAAATTTTGTTTTCTGCGCCTTTGATGTGCTGAAAGTGAAAAGACTGGTGCCGCAGTGAAGAACATATTTTAATTATAACACTCCAACAAAGCGGAGATAGTCGGCAAGTGTGAAGTCAGAACGCATTTCTAATTTAAAAAGTTACGTAACGATAATGCGCTCTCTTGTAATAAATTGAAAATTTGAAAATAACACAAAATGACAGTAGAGAATATAAACGCATAATGGTTTAACGTAGTAGCGAAAGGGAAGGTTTATAGATTGCTTCTTTCTCCGCTCGTGATAGTGATCTCGAGTCTGCTCGTAAAAGGAGGAAGAGTGTTCTCCTGCGACACGTAACGAAAACGTCATAGTACTTCGACATCTGGAAAGTGCTCGAAATGACTGCGGTCGCGCATTCTTTATTAATCCATTTCCGAATACCGGCATTTCAGATTAAGCCGTAATATCCATTAAAGCATTAATGTTTGTATCTTAATAACATGCAAATTCTAAGAGGTAAAAAGAGATAAAAAGACGTTGTGTGAAAAACAACGATTCCAGTTTACTTCGTTCCACTTGGATTGCTATGTGATCATCTTATAAATACAGCTTCGCGCAGACATTACTTTAATGTGCACCACGAGTAGCCTGTAACATAATAATTGCGTACGCTTGCTCTTTGGCGCGGGAAGAAATCGACTCTCTTCAATTATGAGAAAGCCGATCGATTGAATACATTTGTGGATACACACATACATTACACGCGTATGAGTAAGTAACTTCGGGCGGTACGAATCAGGAAGGAGTGCTTTAATACTTAATATACAATCACCAGCGGGCGGTTCCTCTTTTTGCGTCACGATCGTGGTGATTGTCGGTAGAGCAAATCGACTTTGAACTTCACTTTCGCCATGGGTTTTTTCCGCGTCGCGAAGTTCCTTCGCTTCCTTTTGCCACATTACCGGCGGATTCATTGACTTACGCTCGTTATTTAAATGTGTACCGTGTATCGAAGAAGAATTGTGAATTTGCGACGATTTTCTCTCTTTTTCTCTCTTTTTCTTCCTTTATCTAAGAATCTTTTAGCACATTATCTTTTCATTCAAAAAGAAAGAATTTTCATTCTCTTATGCACCTATATTTCAATTTTTTCTATTAAATTACTTATTATTAAATAACTTTTTATGAAGATATTTTTATGAAGATTTTATATTTTATATAAAATTTAATATATATTATTATTTTACATATTTTACAATAATAGTAATATAATATAATAATTTCTTCTTATAGTAACTTTTTAGATTAAGAAATCGATATTATATAAATAATTGATATTACATCTTTATGTAACAATTGATATAGAAAAAGGTTTCAGATTTTAATATTATTATTTAAAATAATAAAGAGAGCATTTGCAAATCCTATTTAAACCTATTTAAACAACGTAATCCCTCATGTTTAATTCGTCATGTTTAAGAAACTTGACCAAATTAATACTTTCTCCAGAGGTTGTAGGTCAGAACTTGTTCGTTGCGCTATTAGTATACACCGAGAGACAATTGTACAGGACTGCGAATTAAGTAAGTTCATGTGAGTGACAAATCGTGAGTTTCCGCAGCCATAGGTTCGTCCAATTTTCCACAAGAGCAAATTAACGATGTCGTTCTATCATGGACATTAATTGAGATAGTCTTTGCCTCAGAATTTCTCTACGCATTAGAAACACATTTCCTTCCGTGGATGATGAATAATTAACCAGTAAATGACATTTGAAAAATGACATTGCAAAAATTAAAACATCATGATTGCTCTCAATGTTTATTAATGCCTTTAATAGTATTTGTAATATTTATTTTGTGTTCTTTTTACAGAATATTTGCATATTTACATTTGTAGTGTATTTACTGATGGCCAAAAATAAAGAAATAAAAACAAAAATAAAATTAAAAAGTATATTTTTAAAATATATTTTTAAAGTATGAAAATTTTTTAATTTTGTTTCTTTTACTGAATTATTTTATTATTTTATTATTTTTCTTGAAAAAAAAGATATATTTATATACTTGTGCAAACTTATTCTACTGGATTTACCGAAAACTTTCTTCTTATTTTCAATATTGCGACTATAACAAACTCAACTTATTGTATTTCATAGATTTTTATTATTTTATCTATTATCAGATATCTCTAAGTATTACTAGTCCATTTTTAAGGTTGTTTCACGCCGCCTTTCACAGTTGAATGTCTTTTCATCGGTATTCTGACCGGAACCCTTTCACGGGGCATTATGTTTCATACTTTCATTCTGATGTATCAAAAAAATGTATCGTCTCTTTGAACAGGAATAAGCTTCGCGTTCACTTCCTTCACTTCCTCCACTTCCTAAAAACGACATACAGAGGGAACTACCTCGCTGCGTGACTGCCGGGAGGTCTCCATTTATGTAAGTGAACGGAAATCAAATTTGTATGTCCGTTGAGGTGCTCCTTTCTTGTGTTCATCGAGCCGAATCAATCCAGTGGAAAAATTTTCTGGCGAGTCATTGTAACCATTTGTCTTGAGAAAATTAGTAATTATTCCGGGTAATTACCGAGACATTTTATTGTTTACTCTTAAATTTGAACACAACATAGTCATTTAACGTAATTTAATTTATATGGACAATCCCACAAGAATTGTATCAGGAAGTGTCGGAAATCCTGCATATGATATCTTCACTTCCGGTAAATGAACATGTCCGCTTGGCTAAAAGTTTACATAATTTATCTTATAAATTATAAAATATTTTAATATTTACACATCTCGTTACTCCATATTCATCTTTGTTATACAATCAACCAAAACTTATAATAATCATAAAAAAATGTTTAATGATTATCTTCGAAATAATAGAACATTACACGGTATAAACTGATGAAATTGAAATATCATAAATATTTTTGAGAAAAATTATACTTGTAAACTGAAAAAAATAAACCAACCAGATAAAGCAACTAATATTTATAATATTTAGAACTTATAACTGCTGAAATATTAAAAAAGTTATCTTTAAAAGAAGAAAGAAAGAAATAGAAAGAAATAGAAATTTATACATTTATATTATATTTATACTATGTTATTATAATATTATCAATATAATGTATAATATAATATAATATAATATAATATAATATAATATAATATAATATATAATCATAATACCATATAATCATAATCATAATAGTTTAAAAATCTTCTTATAAAAAATGTGCTTTCAAGTACATAGAAAATTAAAGCAAAAAATTAATATTAAAAAAAAAACTGGATTTTTATATAATTATCTTGAAGTCAAAGAAAATAGATAATAAAAGTATTAGCAAATATTGCCTTATGCGCTTATTTCTTAATTTCACGAAAGAAATAGTTTTTGTGAAGTGGCGCGACCAAGTCACGAATTACTATCAACTATACTTTTTCTGTTTTTAATGTTTTATAATATACATGCATAATCATTGTGTGATTTCCGCACTGAAATATGCATTGGATTATACATCCAAAGGGAGAAGGTAATTTCTTACATGTATAAGTATGGCAATGCTTTTGTATTTATCTTGCCGGTAGAGTATAGTCCTTTCAAATACTATTGCACGATGCGAAATGCAATGATATATCCTGGAAAGACTTGGGACTCCATTGCAGGATTTTAGTGAAAGGTGGTAGAATCGAACTTGGTATATAAGGTCGGTCTTTGAGATACATGATCATTCAACGCTTGATTTCTCGTGTTTGCACCATTACTAGTCCCATAAAAGCACATCAACATGAATAAAATTGTAAGATTCAGGCATTCGCTTGCATATTGTGCGATAAATGTGTGTCTAATGTGTCAAACAGTGCTAAGTAATATAATCAAAAAAGTGATAACTTCTTATAGTAAAAAATACAAAACTTTTTTTATATATTGTGCAGTATAATTAATAATAATGCTTAATATATATCATTACATATCTCAGTGTTCAAATTACTTTTAGAAATTAAATTATCAAAAAAAAAAAATAATAATTTTAATTAATGTTCATAAAATCGCCAATATTTTTATATTCATAATCTTATAACTTTTATAAACTATTTTATTACTATTTTAATATTGAAAATTGAAAAATATCGTAGAACGAAATGTAATAAGTAATACATAATTGCAGGTTCTTTTGTTAAGTTTTATCTCGTTTGGCAATATGGTGTTGGGTAGTCATTTTGCCGAGGACCATGGTGGTTCATCGTACGAGGAAAAAACGAAAGCTGTAGAAATTCCAATCATTAAAAAATATGGTAAGCTTTTTTTATAAAAATATTATTAAAAATTCTTAAGTTTGTAATGAGTGCAAACTGATCACTTATTTATTGCAATGAATGTTTCTGATTATTGTTTAAAAAAATCTGTTAGTAACTAAAGTATATCACTAAAGTATATAATTGTTTCGTTTCAGCTATACCTATTCCGCATCCTGTGCCTGTCGAAGTGCCTAAGGAAATTAAAATACCAGTGCCTCAACCTTATAAAGTACCAATTGAAATCCCTCATCCATACCCAGTCGAAGTTATTAAACATGTTGAGATACCCATTGAAAAACCAGAGCCTGTTATTGTCGAAAAACAAGTAAGTATAATTCTTAATTTTTAATATCTTTATCTTGTATTTTAGTTATTTTATAATTTGCTATCAGCCACTGTTTATAATTTGCTATCAGCCACTGAAAATAAAATAAAAGTAATGCAGATAATAATAATAAATATTTATTTCAAAGCAAATGCGCTTCGTACAGTAATTTGCACTTAAACTTTATTTAATTATTAAAATAAAGCATAACTGATACAAAATAAAATTTCATTCTAACGTTTTAAATTTCTATTTTATCTTGTAACTATTATAAAATTCCAAATTTGTTTGGTTTCATGAAGCGTATGTTATATATGTAATTATATTTTAGGTTCCTTATATCGTGGAGAAGCCATATCCCGTTTATGTAGAAAAGAAATTCCCCGTACCAGTGGCAAAACCATATCCTGTTCATGTCCCAGTCTATAAGCATGTGGTCCATTATACATCCAAGGGTAAACATTAGACTTCGCGAATATTATTTTATACTCAAGCTGTAGCGTCAAGGAATTCAATTAGGAACAATTCCTTTCGATTTCAATCGACCTGATGATTGTATTAATGCGCATTTTTTTGTGGTATTACAAAAACTTTTTTTAAATTCGCTTTAATAAATAAATCTTGTAAATAAATCTTCTCTTGAGATTTATGTTGCTGAATAGAGAGATATAGTGAGATGGAAATGGAAAGCGTATATGTTATGAAATCTACCAGATTTTTTAATCTGATAAGCCGTCCTATAGATAATTTTGTTATGCGTTTTTTTATTGTTAAGTTTTTATTGATGTAAAATATATTAATTTTATAGCAATTGTTAATAAACTTTGTTAATTTCAAGTGTTCTGTCATTTGTTAATCCAAATATTAATTACGAATTGAGTCTTAATTATAACAAATTAAATCTGTAACACATATTTATCCAAATACATAAATCATGTTTTTTACATTAACAAAAAAAAGAGATAAGGTCTTCTAGACATTAAATTTAATCCTAAAATTTTTGATAATTTATTATTAAATATATTTCTATAATATATTTTTTTATTAATATCTTATTATTCATAATTTTAATAATTAAATGTTAATGTGTAATGTTAACTTTTAACATAAAATATCTAACAAAGATTACATCATCGTGTTGATGTAAATCTTGCCTAATTTACAGAAAATTCTTTTCGTGCAAAAGACCATAGAAAAATATATAATCTATTTTTGTTTTGTTTCCTCGTCACACGATGGCTTGATTAGGTTTAACTGGAAAGAAACTGGCTGCAACAGTCGCGCGCGATCTCGATTCGCCGTAATGAGCGTGGCGCGCGCGCGTTTCTTACATCGACGTGCGAAACCACTTTTACTTGGGATGCACTTTCACTGTTCCGCTCAGCGATACGAATAGCATCGCGCACAATTCGAATCTTCAGCTCCCACTTTATCTAGCTGTCGTGCGACCACACCCTCGGCGTTGGTGCCTTTCATAAATCGATATCGCTGCTGTATCGATCATCCACGCCGGTGTGACCACGCCATATGATGCCGTTGATCATTGGGGAATCGTATCGCTTGCTACATTACCTTCTGTGATTTGCGATCCGTTGCTGTCGCAAAAATCCCAAATGCTTTTCTTCCTCCACGTTCACGAAAGTGCTTTGTTACCGGACGACATTTGTAATTTGTTGACGGAGTAAAATGCTTTAAAAAGATTTACTGCCACTGTTATTAACAATAGACACGAAATTAAAGAGAAATGTGATTTAAATTGTTTCTTTATACATAGACGTATGAATTGCGTAACAAAAATTGTATAATTTTACTGGATTAATATTAAAATATTCTATTGAAATAAGAAATAAAAATTAAGTAAATTTTCCATGTGAGGAAATAAAATATATTCTTTCTCATATAATAGCCATTGGTTGCGTGAACGTCGGCATTTCGGCGGATTGCAATCATGCAATGCTTATTCACAGATTGTTGAACAAGTAAACTAGACCATGACATTACCACATTTACGTTGATCTTTGTTTCCCACTGGTACACGCAATTCGATGAGCATGAAAGAACGGTGCGTCTGAAGAATGTTGCGTGCAATACACCGAAGAGACTCTCTCTCTTTCTCTCCTGAAATCTGAGAACCGCCTGATTCATTGCGGGAAAAATAACCCGCTGAGAGCAGCGACAGTAAAAATAATGAAGCATGGGAATTGTCATTATATACAGTTTATATTTGTTTTTATCATCTCAAATAAGTACTGAAGGTAGTGTAACGACCCCTAATGCATCTTGACTGCTAAAGTCATTAGCTTTGATTTCAATTTATAATGATTCTGGATCTAATAAAACTATAATAGTCAGTAAACAGGAAAAGTTTATATGGCTATAGAACTTTTTGTCAACATTAACACATCACTTTCTCTCTTTCATTACGTTTTTCGGTTTTATATTAATAGTTTAAAATGCAGAATTTATTTGAAGTAGAAGAAAATAAATTTCTTGTGTTTTCCTTCATTATAAAATTTTCTAGATAAAATAAAAATTGTGTAAAAATATTAATAATTTTGATAATAATTGAAATAATTAAAAGTTATTACAGTTTTATGATATCCTTTATGTTAAAGTTAATAAGTCAAAGTTATGTCACATATTGCATTTTATATAAATAAAATGTGAAATGAACTCTCCTCTATATATAAAATACATTGTTATTTATTAAAGTTAGTTAATTTTATGTCATTACTCTATACTACAAAAGAGAGTATTGCAATTAAGTATTATAAATTTTAAAATATCGAAAATTGTAAACCTTGTAAAAAAATATTGATTTCGAATTTATCACAGAGATTTGTTATTACAAATATGCAAATTTAATTTTTTTATATATATTTTATTATACAATTTTATTTATATTAACATAAATATAAAATAATTAGATTTTACGATAATTTCCGTTTGCAGTAATTTTCAAAGACTTCCGCAATAAGATATGATTTCGTTATGATATTCGAGATTAAAAGCAGCGTTGTTAATTAGAAAGGAATACTTTATCGTATCCTTACGTTCTACAATGGGGTGCCACTGTCACGACACGTTCGTTTGCATGTGTCTACAGCATGATGAGATAATTAACACGTAAATGAATAGCTTGTTACTTACCTAGAAATCCTGAATATGAGTATACCGCCAATTATCTACCTGACATTGAAGTGATTTATTTCGTGCATTCCAAAGTTGATGAACGTCAGGAAGATCATAGTTTAAATCATACTTTCGGCGCCTATCGTTATATTTGTGCATATAGCAATATTTTATACATGCAAGCGTGCGCCTGAGTACAACGAACAACTAGAGTCGGCGTAATGAGGAGAAGGGAGAAAGTAGTGCCGGTATATAAAGAGTTGGCCATGACTTTGAAAGCATTGTAGAGTCTGTTACGCATTCCACGGACAGGTACCACAGAATCATTTGTCACGACAGTGCCTTCATCGCACGATTTTACAAATCATGAGATTTTTTGTGAGTATGTTCTATAAAAAGTCTATTAGATTATTCAAAATATTATATTGTACATTTAGCAACTTTGTTTTTATGTAATGGTCAATCAGATAAATTAAATTTTCAGAAAAACATTTAAAATATTTATTACACATAACATTTATTACATGTAAAATTAAATTATTTAAATTTGTATAAGTTATAAACAAATATTATTTTAGAACATTATAAAATATTAAGTTACTTTAAAATTTATTGGAAATAAAGATTTTAAATTATACTATATTACAATAAATATATTTTTAAAACGTTTACACTATTTCTAAAACACTATTTCACTTGAAAATTGACAATAGTAGTCGTGTATTTAGATTTAATTTGGTTTTTATGAATGTTGAGCGACCATTATCATTTTGTAAAAATATAAAAAAGCAAATCTCACTTTTCTCACAAAGAGTAATTAAGTATAGAGACGAGAAAAAGTTGCACTTGGTTATTTCTTACGAAATTACTCGCGCTTCGCGTGACACCATTCCGAATACGGTTTGCTGAGACGATTAGAAGAACGAGTGATCTGTGCGTTCAACCGGATAGAACTATCTCGTGAAACTGTCTAGAAGAAGATTTTACTATCGACTAGAAAGCGGTTACAAACTCTCTTGGCGACATTCTATTTTAGAACTCGATGACTTTAATGACTTACTTATACTTGTAGATATTTGTCACAATGGTAGCCGCAGTATGGGCTTCTTACGAAGAGGAGCACGGTAGTAGTACATACCACGAAACGTCCAAGCCAGTGGAGATACCAATCTACAAGAAATACGCGATACCAATTCCGCACCCGGTCGCCGTCCCGGTTCCTCAGCAAATTAAGATTCCAATACCTCAGCCTTATCAAGTCCAAGTCGCAGTTCCACACCCAGTACCTGTGGAAGTCGTTAAGCACGTCGAAATACCTATAGAAAAACCGGAACCGTACGTCGTTGAAAAAAAGGTTTGTATTAATGAATATACTTCTTTTAAACTTTATAAAATAATATAATAAATTATTATAAGGAAATTGAGAGTGTTACGTATGATTACATAGCAAATATTGTAAAGCTGTAAAATATTTTAAAATATACTTGTAAAATTACAAATATATTTTTTGCACAAATAAGACAATTGTATAGAAAATATTAGAATTAAATTTAAATTATATTCTTTGAATGAAAACATCGAAGAGATGTAGTAAACATTAAAATGTTAAGAAGAATCGATAAATGTAGGATATTTTAAGCTTTTAACAATATTATTAAATATTACAAACATTTATAAATGTATTACATTACAGGTACCATACGTTGTTGAGAAGCCATATCCAGTAACGGTAGAGAAGCACTTTCCAGTGCCAATACCTAAACCATATCCAGTTCATGTGCCGGTGTATAAGCACGTTTTCCACCATAAGAGCTCAGGACACGGTTGGAAGCATTGATTCGCAAACTCGAACAATTCCGTTCAGCATCTTTATGCCAAAAATAGCGACAAGCGTTACACAATGTTAGATTGTAAGCGTTGTGATGTTTGTATATAATTTATCGTTATAAATCATTAATGTCTATTATGTTTAAATAAAATATTATCTCATACACGCACTTGTTTACTTTTCTTTAAATACTCTTAAATATTTTTAATAATTTAAGTTAATAGCACATTACAAATGCTATTATTTTAATGTATCATAGAAAAGAGAGAAGAGAATCGTAAAAAGATTAATTGCATCACATCTACATTTAATTTACATAATTATAAATCTTATATTGATTAAAGTAATTAAATTTGTTAAATAATAAATTTTAATAACTGAAGTTTTTATTTAAAAAAAAATTGAATATACAAATAACAATATTATACATATGCATATTTATTATATAGTAATTAAAATTTTTAATAAAAAAAATTACAAAATAGGTTACTTACATAATAAAACATATAATATGTGCGTGGTTTCAAGAATACTTTTTCTCAAGTCTGTTTTGTATATCAATTCTCTTAAAAATTCATAATCTCCTGAATAAGATTTCAACGCTTCCGGCGACGTGGGTTGGCATGTAACAAATACTGGAGGCGCTCCTGAGTTTTTGCGAAAATACGAAATGCATTTGTAATTATTATAAATTATATACGTCACTATTTCCCCATGAGCGATACTTCGGGCTATATTTCACGACGTAGTGCGTCCGGGTTTTGCAGCACATTGGCATGTCCACTGATATACGACGAGGAATAATGTCAACGACGCAACGTGTCGCCATGCCCGAGGTGGTCACTCACTCACGTCGCCACAGAATTTATTCAGGAAATACCGGGGCGCGTACGATTGCATCATGAATCTGGTGACTACTTTTTACGCCGCTTAAGGGAATCACATTCGACTTTAGCAAGAAACTTGCCCTCTCTAAGTGGAGCAAAAGTTTATAAAACCGAGGTCTGCAAGTGACGTGCTTCTAGTTTAGTCCAGAACTCCCGCTCTATTGGTCGTCGTGCAACCCTACGGAATAGGAGGGAAGTCATGTTCAGATTACTGGTAAGCATATCATGTATCATCGTAGTACTGTTCTATTTGAAACAGCTAAACAGCCCGTTTTATTTGATGTATTTTTAACAGTAATATAACAGTAAATTATAAAAGCAAATTGCTCATAGATGGCATTTAATATGTTAATTGTAAATAAAAGTAAAATACTTATAAATTGCAAATATGTAGTACAATACTTGCAAACGTTATATTTCACAGGGTTGAAAATAGTAATTTTTTTAAATACATTTTAAATGTAATAAATATGTTGTACAATCTCGATTTTATATATGACAAAAATGACATATGATGTATATAACTCTTCAACGAGTTTTTCTATTCATTATTCGTAACAATTTATTGTTCAATTCATGTATGATTTAATTTTTAGATACCGTGCCTGATATGGCTGACAACGGTGCGTTCGGAGACCGGAATGCAAATGGACATGCCGGTTGGGTCGCCGATGGAGAAAATATCAGACCCTTCGATGCTGAAAGCGAAGAGAGATTCTATCCACGACCCTTGCGGACCGCACTACCCGCAGATTCCCGTTTATTCACCACCACCGGTCTACGTTAAACCCTTGATCCAACCGACTTATTTGAAAAAAGAACTGGGCGCAGCACCCTTAGCTCATTTGCAATACATTCAACAACCGCACGCTTATCCTGCCGTGGTGCCCAAGCCGGTCATCAACTACGTAAAGCCGGCGGTACCTGTGTTGAACTATCACGGGGTACAGCATCAATCGTTGCAGTATATCAAACCCGCGACGCCCATTTACCAAAACCCTATGCCCTACGCACCGGTCTACCAAAAGCCATTGCATTACGCGCCTATGTATCAGAACCTCATGTACCACGATGAGATGCCGAAGATCTTCTTCAAAAAATACGAGGCACCTGTCGCCCAGGTTCTCTACCAGAAACCGCTAGTGCATGCACCCGGTGTTCAGTACGCGACGCCGAAAGTGGTGCACGTGCAACCACCGCAGGTGTCCTACGCGAAACCCGTGATTCATTCACCATCACCACCCGTGTACGCTCCGCCGCCAGTTCACAATTCCGTTATAGTCAAGCCTCATTGTGAGTAGATCGCTCTATCATCTGCGATGTTGATGTATCGACCTCTGCGGAATCCCTAAACGTGTTAAACAATCGACTGGCGATTTTATGCCGGATCTGCATTCCGTAAACAAAAAATATAAAAGGAATAAAATGCGTATAAAAAATTGTAAAATATATTGTAAATTAATATTTAAAATGTATCTATATTTAAAATTGTAAATTTGAATAACGCATTATTTTTGTACGGCGATTTATACATTGTAGAAATATGAGCTATCAAAATAGAAGAAAGCAAATTGTTGCAATTAGCGCTTAAACTTAATCTGAAATGTATAATAAAATGATTTTCTTTCTCATTTCTTTTTGTTAATCTTTTATTAAATTTTACGACTAGCATTTTCTTAGCATTACAACTGATAGATTTCTTTAGTAATAAAAACAGAATTTAGCATCATTATCCTATTTGAAAAACAAAAATATAAAAATAATAATAAAGCATTAATTAATATTAATCAATACTATAAATAAATGATTTATTATTATATATAAGGATATATTATTGTAAAGAATTATATTATTCTTTTACGCCAATGATAATTTTGCCATTTTTATATAGTGACAAGAAAAAATTACACAATTGAAAGTAATAAATTAGTTCTTCAAGATAAGCATATTATTTTCATATCATAAATTTTTATACAATATTTTGTTTCTTCATTTTTCAGATTTTTTTTTTCCATAAAATTAAATATATATTTGGCAGAATTAAAATACAAAAAAGAACATATATGAAATTATTAAATTAAAATAATGTAAAGAAAATTATTATTTGTATTCTATTACTTATTTTGTTACTAAAAACATATATATTTTGATAATATATTCAAAGTTTAAATTTAACTATTAAATATAATAAGGAAACTCGTATTCCACTGCTTTAATCAATATTTTGAAATCTAACATTTTACATGAATAATTGTTTTGCATTTCAGATAAGCGATCTCAATTAATTTTTAATATAGGAAGATAATTATCGTATTTCGAAACATGAATCTTTTGCATATCCTGATAATACGATAGATCTTGATAAGATTTAAATAAAGATTATAAACGTCGGACGACCTTAGTGCCGAAACTTTCCAACCGTGAAATATCGCTACTTTTTCAAACTTTCATCTAGAGAAGCAATTATGCATAGAAATTTCATAAGCATACAATTACGTTACGAAGTTGCGGACATCTTTTTCTTATCTAGATTGCGTCTCTCGAAATTTTTAATTCTTTTAGCCAGGAAATCCCACTACTATGAAACTTCTTCAATTGTTCTCAGGAATTGAATCGCATCGTTAAACATTACAAATCATAATTATAGTTCATCATCATATTATTAGTTTTTAAATTGTAATTATAAATGTAAATATTTTATTATACGTAATAAAATAAACTCATTTAATTTTAATAAGATATTTAGTTATTAATATATATATATATATATATATATATATATATATATATATGTTTTTAAAAATATGTAGTGTAACATCATATGATAAAACGAATGTGATGTAACGAAAAGATGGTCACTTTGAGAACATTTTCTTCAATTAATTTTATAAATAAAGTCTTGTATGATCATAAAGCTTATATTCATAAGATATTTTTTCTTGTTTTTTTTGGCCTCTAGATTCACTCTTTATCTTATTACATTATTGTTATATAAAATAAAAAGACTTTGAATCACTACACAAGGATAAAAATTTATATTTTTGTTCAGAAAACTATCAAATGGACTAAAATTTAATAAGTATAATTAATTGCATAAAATATTTTACGAACAATTTTATTCAATTATTTTATAATTTTTCATTATATTTAAATAAGTAAAACTTGCTTAAAAATATTCATATACATCTCACTAGAGATTATAATAATGATTATAATAATAATTACAATAATCCATACAGTGAGATTCCATTGTATATTCAAGCATATTCTTTTGCTAGTCATCATGTGTTTTGAACTTTCTCACAGAAAGTTAACGCTTGCGAATGACAAATGTAATCCAATTATGAAGTATTGAAATCGGCTGTTTGAAGTTCATTGTCTGTCTCTTTTTTATCACGAGATTTGAAAAATTACGACGATATCAAATTGTTTTGTCTAGAAAGGAGACGGAGAATTGCCTTTATATATAACGTAATTCTTTATATTTTCTTCATTATGACGGAATTTTCTGTCTGCTTTCTAGACTAAACAATTTTATATATATGCGAATCTGATGTAATTTAATTTCATTTCTTGACATGCACGCTGTATTATTACGTTATCATAATTGCAGCGTATCTCTATTGTATTCGTTGAACTGCGAACCATATTTGCAAAATGAAGTATCACGAAGCCTTCTTTATAATTCTTGTTTTTTTATTTAAACTTTAAAGAAACGTACGTTTATCTAAATCAAGTAATATAGCTCAAATGTCTTAAAAGAAATTTCTCTGATTCTTTTAATGTGTTTGCTTTTCTTTACGTAGGGTGTTAAATTCCATTATGTGGAAGCGGGAGATAAAACCAAACCGCTTGTGTTATTATTACATGGATTCCCTGATTGCTGGTTAACGTGGAGGAAACAGATCCCATGCCTCACAGAACATTACAGGTTTGATATAATTTACTTATAAAATAAAATGTTCTCATTGCTTATGTCATTGCTTATTTATGACGTTTATGTTTTTGACATTGTTCAGGGTAGTTGCTATAGATCTAAAAGGATTCGGCGATAGCGATAAACCGCTCAACAGGCGATCTTATAAAGTCGAAATTTTAATAGACGAGTTGAAACAATTCATTTTGACTTTCGGTGTGAAGACGTGTAGTATAATCGGTCATGACCTAGGAGGACTTCTAGGATGGTATATGGTCGCTCTACACAGAGATCTCGTTTATAAATTCGTAGCCATTTCGAGTCCGCATCCTAATTTCTATTGGAATAGAGCATCAGGAAATTCTGCATTAGATGGAAGGTATATCTTTGAAAATTGTATTCATTATAGATTTGTGAGAACTTCTCTCGAAAAATATTATTTGAATACAATACAATAATATATACATACAATAATTATATACAATTTTATATTTAATAGTAAACAATATGACATTCCAGATGGATACATTTCAGTAGATTACCATTTCTGCCAGAAATAGATGCCCTTAAAGAGGACTTATCTATTATCAATGATATATTTCAACATCTTCAAATATCTCAAGATGGGATAGAAAAAAGCTATGTCGAGGCATATAAATATGTCTTCAGTAGGAAAGGTAAATTAATTTTGATTTTTATAATGTAATCTTTATGTCATTCCCATATTTCAAAATTAAAACAATGTTTTGTAGAGGATTGGACAGGACCGATTAATTATTATCGTAATCTTCCATTCACAAGATTGAACATTGATAATGGCGAACAAATTGACAACAAAACGCTACTTATAGTCGGAAATATGGATCCTTTTGTAACGATAGAGAGTATCATACAAAGTGCCGAACATGTAGAAGTGTCCAGAGTTAAAGTTATATCAGAGACGCGGCACTTTCCGCACCAAGAAAAATCAGACGCCGTGAATAAGGCAATCATTAAATTTCTTATAGGTGAGTTTTATTTTACGTAAAATTAATCTTAATAAAATTTGTATAATTTGATACCAGATTAGTTTGTGGCTCGCTATCTTATATTTCATACATGCAATAAAAAATATTTTTAGGTACGACATGTAATTCGATGCCTTCAAAAACACCCGCAAAGAGTCTCATGTCTTCCTGGATAGGATCTTTAAGTAATACCGTTAAATATGGTAATCAAATGATCGACGTTGTGCACAAACGAACTAATGATATTGTTAATGTGTTACCGAACAAAGTACTTTATTTGGGACAAACAAGTTAGATGGTGTTATCTAATATCAGCGTTATTTAGAATTTTGCACTTTGTTACGAAAAATCTAGATATTCTACCTGCATTAACGCTGGCGTATGAAACTCATAAAAGGCTGATTTGGTCCTATTTATTATTACTTGTTTCTTATATAAGTATATATATATATATATATATATATATATATATATATATATAT